GGCCTCTGCAAGACCCAGCAGATGGGGGTGCAAAATTGTGATGCATTTTGTTTGCCTTTTAAGTGTGGCACCCCATTAGCAAAGGGGCTGTTTGTTATTGGTGGGGCAGGGTGAGGGGAAGGGGCTACTGACATGCCATCACAAAAGAGGAAATGCATCACTAATATGCGGGGGGGGGGAAGAAAACATTAGGATACTGATTTGCACAAATATGCACAGTCCAATTTGTAGGGATAGATTCTATTTGGGAATAATTACCATAATATCAAGGGAAATGCATCTTGCTTGAGTGGGGGAGGTTGGAACTGGGGGGCGGGGTGTTATGGGTTGAGGGGCAACTCCATAGCCCAGGAGTCTTACAGGTCGTTTCCCTTTAAACCAGTCATGGGCCAGACAACCTTCCACATACAGAATAGCCCATTCAAAGGACACCTTTAGACAGAGAACAGTCCGCAGCTGAGTATCACAAGGGACACCCAAGATGCCCTGTTCGTTTGGCCAGCTCTTCCTCGGCCACCCCTGGCAGCTGTTGGAAGCAAGAAGTGTGGAATTCTGCATTTCCCCAGTTTTAGACAGCCTAACTGGGCACCTCTCCTTTGTCCGTGCTTAAAACGGAGCAGCTTGTTGTAAATTGAAGCGGTTTTCCTGAAAGGGAGAATCCATCCTGTCTCTACGCTCAAGGAATCGCCAGCCACCCTTCAAGCTAGAAGGGCTGGCACACTTGGTGGAGACGAGGACCTCTTGCACACACCTGCCTGTGACAGTTGGGTCCAAACTCGGCTCCTGAAAGAGTTGCACAGACACTTCCCTGCATCGACACCCTCAAAAGCTGCTCCAGAGGATCCCCCCACATCAGTGGAATGAATTTGGAACACACTGGCACGGCTGCAGGAGGGGACTGCTGGATTCAACCTGCTGGCGCTCTTTTCAGTCACGATCTGCTTGTTATCGACTGCAGCAGGGCTGACAGGACAAGGTATATTGGAGGGCATTCCTTTGTTGCTACAGCAAAAGTTCAACAACCGTGCAATCCTATACACGCCCACACAGAAGCAAGTCCCACTGATTTCAGTGAGGCTTACACTGGTGTAGACAGGTTTGCAGCCCAAGCTTTGATCCTTCACTGCGTATGTTGCGATTTCTACAGAATGTTTAAAGACAGATGTAAGTCCAAGAGATCTGTGCAGCTGGGCTTTCCTGCCTGACTGTGCAGATGGATTTAGATCATCTTTTAAGGCAATCCAAACATTCTCTCTTTTAGTCCCACTTCATAATACATTTTCTCTTCCGGTTCATCTACCAGCTACCCTAGAAGAATTATAGGGATCAAAGCCTCGCCCTGGATGAATGCTCCTACATTCCAAACTGAAGCCGCAATAAAGAGGGAGCCCCAAAATGAACCAACCTATAAAAATTTCAGCTCCAGCAAGTCAAGCCACTTGCTGTAAGGAGAAAAAATTTATGGAATAAAAGCTGATGTCCAACAATAGTGCACAGCAGGATCTCCTCTTCCATTGCAGACTTCGGGTGGGAATGCGACATTTTTGCATGCTCCTCATGGCTGCAAACCCAACGAGCAAGATTTCCCCGCATGTAGAAAACCAGCTCATGAGGGAGAAAGATCTTAAGCCCTGCTACTCTCCATGATGTTAACTTTCTACATGCAGGGAGTAATAATAATGATAATGACAGTAATAATGACAATGAGGAACATCGAAAAATAGGGCTGAGTCTGTAGTCTGAAGTGATGCATTTTGCTGAATTTTAAGTTATCTAACAGACAACCTGAGTTGGGGGTTTATATGCACACCCCCTGTCATCTTATCTCTAGTTGGGGCAATCCATGCAAATCCCACTGCGGGCAGAGCTGCAGCCTCTGCACAGCAAGAGAGGAAAGAGGAAAGGAGGCGAAGACGTCTTGCGCTAGGAGGATTTTTTTTGGCATTTGCTCAAGGCCACTTGGGGATTCTTGAGTGCTAACCAAGGATCCAAAACAACCCAGTCAATGGTTCTGAGAACAACACGTGCCCTTGAAGCTTACAAGGAAGGAGAAAGTGGGTGGGAAAGAGTGGTGTGTGTGTGCGTGTGTGTGCGAGTGTGTGTGTGGCATCTGGAAATCTCTGCCTTTTAAGAGAAAGAAAGACAGAAAAAGGAGAAAGAAAGAGAAAGAAGAAAGGAAAGAGGAGGGGGAGGGAGGGAGGGAGGGGGGAGAAGAGAATGAGAGAGAGAGAGAGAGAGAGAGGGAGAGGGAGAGAGAGGGAGAGAGAGAATAAGAACACAAATAATTGTCAAAGCTGCACAGGATTTCTCAAATAAATAAATAAATATCAATCACACAGCTTTAATACCTGTTAGGAGAGTACCCATTAGGTTTATTTTAATCTCTTGTGTTTTCCCCCCAGTTAAATAATTGGGGGCATATCTGAAAAGAGAGGGAGGAACAGAGCAGGCAGGTGAGATTTGGGGATGCCAAAAATGGTGGAGGAAAAATGGGGAGGCCCTTTTTTGCATAGTGGTGTGAATGTCAAATGTTTGGGATACTAAGTCCTATGAAGTCCTAAAATGAAAGCTGCCCTCTGGAAAGGGGAGATGCTTGTGGTGCCTGCAGCCAGAAAACATACACAAGATCCCGAAGTTTAATTTTGCAAGAAGATGTTGCTGATGCTCTGAAATGTGCCTCCTGGATTTCAGAAAAACGCAGGGGGAAACACAGGGAAGAAGCTGCACAAGAATACAGGCATGGGAACATAATGTGAAAGCCACCAGCTTGGGCAGTAACTTTGGTCTTGGGCCTTCTCTGGAATATCATGGGGTGGGGTAGAAGATCTTGCAGAGTTTTATGGGACTGCCAACTCACAGACCAAGAGGAGGAAAATCAAGAAAAATATTGGGAAGGAGAGTTTCTGAAGTCTGCACTTTGGACATTTGCCTGTTTTCTACCAGAGAGCTTCAGTCAAACAAATGAAGGAAAGGAGAATTCTAGATAGTTCTCAGAGCAGCTTCTCTTCTGAAAAGAAAGGGAAAGCCTTCTGCATGTGCTCAGAAGATAATTTTTCAAAACACACTCACAAAAAGATCTGCCCCTGTTATTGTTGCTGGGGGAAGAGCAGGGGCATCTCTGGATTGCACAATTTTTGCACTCCCTGGGGAGACACTAGTAACCGAAAATGGAAATTAATGGCCTCTTTAAAGCCGTCCATAAAACACAAGCATCTCCCATTCACTGGACGCCATGATCTGTGGCCATTTCCCTTTTCAGGCTCAGCATCTAGCATCAATTTCCTGTCACAGCCCCCTCATTTACCTATACTTTATTAACTTCCATGAGATGGTTAAAAACCATCTTTTCTCATTAAGGCTAAGGCTGATCGTAAGATTTAAGGACAAAACTGTAAGGGGACCTATTTTTTAAAAAAACACACACAGTCACTGGCAAACAATAGGCTGTCCACCTTGGCCTCAAGCCTTGCTGGCTGCCGTTTTTTTTTCACTGGAATTCAGCTAGTGACCATGGGAACCCTAACACATCTTAAAATATTAAAGGGCAAAGTTGTATGGGAGCGTTACTTTTGGGGTCTTTTAAAATGCCTTAGAGAGAAATCTTACACAGGTTTAGATTGGGAATAAAAATCCCACAACTGGGGAATGCTGAGAAAAATTGAACCCTTTTCTGTCTGAATAGGGCATGTTTGCACCTTTATTCTCTCGCTTGATGTGCAAACAAAGTATTTCACAGTTTCATTACAGACTATGATATGTATTGATTTGTTTTTTCACATGTATACCTGGCTTTTTCATAGCCGTTACAGAGGAAACCAAGATGAAAAGGCAAGCAAGACTCTCACTGCCTTAGCAAATGTGTCCTGGGAAGTGCAGTGAAAGCGGCCATTACGCAGATCGATTCCACAGACTGCAAGGGAGCAATTTTTGCTTGGTTTTCAGTGTGGGCCAACGGCTGGTTAAACCCACTTAAGTGATGGCAGGGAAGGACTGAGGGCGTGGAAACTATCCCTGAGCTGTTAATCCAATGGAAAGGGACTTTTTGTTGCATAATTCTCTTTTCATCATTCCCATATGAAATGGTCCCATAAATATAAGCCTCCTTCGGATAGAAATATAGCTAAAGTTGAAGCGAATCTCTTTCGAAACTTCCCTCACCCACCCCAAGAAGCAATTCCTGAGACAGAGATTAGAACTGTGTGATTCCATTCATCTGGGTTGGAGGTAATTTGAATTATCGAAAAGTTGGGGGAGGGGCATTTCGAGGAGGAGGAGGAGGGTGGGGAAGCAGGAACACTGGCTTTTTTTTTGCACAATGCATTTGGAATAAATTATAGCACAGCATAGCCAATTGAAATCAACAGATCAAAAACGAAAAAGAAAAAGAGAGGAAGAAACAAAAAGCAAAAAAAAAAAAATCAACACTAGAAACTGAAAAAGGAACCAAACGTGGGGAAAAAATCCACTAAAAACTAAAGAAAAAAGAAGTGGTTTGGAAATTATATGTATATAGATATAGATATATATACACGCACAGACAATTTGGAAAAACAAAACAAAAGTCAACCAAAAATCGCCCCCAAAAGCAAACAAAACAAACCGGGTCCAAAAGAACCGGAAGGACCAGCATGCAAAGTCTGTTGCTAACATTCTCCCATCATGCAGCAGGCCCAACTGTCCATACGGCAAGGTAATCATGACAACAGAAAGGTGCACATCACGCAGCAACGTTACCAATGGATGCAGAGAGAGCCCACAATGCAACTCAACTCATCTCCGACGAGACCCGGGAACGAGCGGGTCTCGCTCGCCATCTTTGGTCTAGATATTTCTTTCTTGCTTTCTTCCTTTCTCTCTCTCTTTCTTTTTTTAATTTTAATTTTATATCTTTGTCATTTTTTAAATTAAAAAAGATAATAGATATATAGATATATATTTCTCTCTTAAGAAATGTAAAAATGTGGGTAAAGAAAGTGAAAAAGAAAAAAAACCACACCAACCTTCTCGAAGCTCTGAGGGATGTTAAGGGGGTTTGATGCAGAACACAATGACATGAGGAGAAGAGAGAAAATAGGGGAAACACAGAGAGAGTAAAAAAAGCCTTCACGGCTGGCAACAGCAAACTGCTTGCTTTCTCTTTTTTCCCCTGTCTTTACCTTAAAAAAAAAAAGCTTTCCAAAAAATCAGAATATCCCCCTTTCCTTGAGTCCCCATTTCTTTCCTGTCCACCAGGGCGACCGAGAAGTGGACGCAGGTACCAGCGCAGCAAGGCCTGGATCCGGAGGGAGGGTGGCGGTACCTCAGCCAGTGAGGTGGTTGTTTTGCACCCTGTTAATTTACCAGGAGACATGCTCCTGGCCCCTCCACGGACTCAGGAGCTCCTCAGGGCCTGCGGATCCCTTCGGTCAGTCCCACAGGCCCACCCGTGTCCAACAGCAAAACCTAGCGAGCCCCCTGTGGCTCGGGAAGGAAAGATAAACTCGTGCAACACTGTGCCCCAAACAGATGAAATCATTTCCCCGACTGGCCACCGTGGCGTCTTCACCGTCGTGGAGTCTCTCCGGCAGGTCCTTGACATATTTATATTGTTCTCCGGGAGGGGTCTTGTCAGTGGAACCAAACCCCAAGACCACCTCAAGGCATGTGCTCATGGGGACTTTGGCTGGAGCAAATCCACAAAGTCACAGCCAGCAGGCTGTGAATCAGTAAATCTACATCTTGCAACAGATTGGGTTGAGGTGGACGTGGCAAATGTAATCTGCCCACCCCCCCTGCCCCACCAGAAAAGGGCCACTCAAAATCCAGCACAAGGGGACCCAAGTGCTAGAACCCCCGGGCATTTTAAAAGCCAATTTCCATACTCCTGGCTCAGCATGGAAAGGTCCAACTAGCAATGCTAGTAAGCGTCCATGTGGACATGCCTTAAAAACACCACCTTCCTTCCGTGGTCAATTCCCTCCCCTTCCAAACTCCAAAGCAAGATGGCGGAAGGGATCCCAAGATCTCCTTATGCTCTAAAAAACACATTATCTCTTTTCAATGTTGGAAAAAACTACAAATCCTACCACACTCTGGAAACTCTTTGGAGACACAAGCATGTTATGGGAGAAACAATTCAATAAAAACTCTGCAAGCATGTTCAAGATTCTGCGAGTGGCAACAACAGCAAATAGAAAGAACATTTCACAGTTCCATCACCCCCACAGCACATGGTGTTCCCCCCAACTTTTCCACGCAGGACCATTTTAAGGCCAATTCCCCCGCCCCCCCTCAAAGGTATCAAAGTAAGGGTAACAAAAACATATTAGAAACAGCCAAGTTGAATGTGTCACATGCTCCAGGCCTGCCAGAAGCCCTAGGCACACGGAAGCCTCTGAAAAGACATAGTCACACACGTGCATTTCTCAAGCAGAGGCTGAAAGGTAAGAGAGAGTTGGAACAAACCACTCGAGCCATTGCAGATCTGCTGTCGGTTACGTGAGTTTGCAATAACTCAATTTTTAAAAGACAAAGAAAAGAAAAGCTTTCCCAGAGGAGAGACATATGGATCATTCATATTTGCCCCATGGTTCAGATTTCTGTAATGCCGGCATTCTGCCACTAGGTGCCGCTGGTATACAGCACAGAGTGAATCTGATTGCAAGCATTAATCCTCAACCAGGGGAAAATGGACATTTGTCTTGATATTAGGAAAACCTCTTATTCTACTGTTATCTGGGCAGAGCAAGCCATTCTGTTATGTGAGGAAGGGAATGAACATGGTTTATACAAAGGGGACAAACTGGAAAAGAGCTTCCCAGCAAATAGGAACTGTTCCAAATTTCCAAACTATGGCAGGCTCAAATTCTCTCTTAATTGACAGGGGACGAGCCTTGGATTGTATGCTCTCTGCCTCAAGGACTTTTTTACCCAATGGACAGAAACAATGACAAAGATTTCTTATGGCACAGCATCAACCTTTAAGATTCCATATTTCTGGTTGCTGCCCTGTTTGGGGGGGGGGGGGGCTGTCCATGCAGCCAGTAATAATGACAGCAACATTTTTATTTTGTTTTATTTTGCCATATGTCACAACCACAAGGAACAACAGAAATAACTTCTCCAGATATTTAGTGTGGATGAAACAATCCCCTCAAAACAATTGCCTCCATGGGCCTGTCCCCCAGAGAGGACAAAAGATGCTAATTAGTGTTGCATTGCTAAAAGACTGATAATACTCAGCAGAATAAGGTGTAACATTTAAATATTAAAATGTATTTAAGCACTTGCCAGGGACACCAACAACCCCATTGCTCCAGGCAGTGAAAACAAGATGTTTCTCAAACTCTAGAGGACTTCCAAAGATGCCCAGTTACCTAGAGTCAGCGAAGCATGAGATGCTTTATTCAGAATTATTTTGTGTGTGTGGTGGGAGATATAAGCTATTGAAACTGGAGCATGTCCATCCTCCCCTCCTTTTTTATTGAGCAGTCGATGTTTGACATATATGCAAAAAGTATCAGGTCAATCCTAATAATAATAATAGGATTAATAATTGTAGTTTTCAGGAAGGAATATAAATTGGCTTTCCCACTGCCCTGTGATAAAGAAGGCAACTGACCCTTTTGAAGGGGAGTAGGTTGCGTTGGGCCACTGGCTGGGAAAAAGGCAAGAGATTACAGCGCTTCCTTTGCTTCCTAGCTCCTTTCTTGCTTTCTGCTACTGAGTATTTTGAAGGCAGGGAAGCCCTGCCACTTTTGACACCTTCAGCTTTCACATCTGATGGGCTAGGCAAAAGGTTTTGTGCTTGGGCATCCAGAAAAGAATCTCAACAAGCAGATCTTAGACAGACCAGCTGTTCACCCGATTCAGCCTTCCTGGGCAAATATTTTTGACTAACTCTTGGTTTCCCCAGGCCAATGAGTCAGAGCTAAGCTGATGGCAGTTAGCTGGCATGGGGCTGGCCCAGTACCCTTTCCGTGCCCAATGGGTTTCTTCTGAGAACTTCCCAGAGAAAAATAACCCTAACATCCACCGTGGAAGGTTGGTGTAAGATTTTGGAGACATGGGGTGTAGCTGGAACTGAGAGCAGGGTATTTGTACACCATGCTTCTATTCCCCTCGGAGGCGCCTGTCCCCTGCCATTTTGCGGTATTTCAATGTGGCATTATAACACATTCCCAAGACTTGGTGAAACCTTTGGCGCAAATGATCCATAGTCAAGGATCAACTTTAGAGCAGCCTGAAGTTTTCTTTTGCAAACTGAACTAGGTGACAGAGGGGAGTAAGATATATGAATTTCTATTTCACATTTCCAAATCCTGGGCAGAGAAATGGGTTTTTGGGTTGAGCAGGAATGCTCCCCAGCCATTTTCACCCAACTCAGAACTTACTTTCTATTAAGGAGGTGATGTAGCTGGAAACTCCCCCCCACCACACACACACACAAATGCCTGTTCTATGTTTTGCTGAAGGGCTGTGCAATTCCCATTAAATATTTCTTAAGTAGAGAAATTCCAGGTGTGGGGAGAAGAAAGTACCTCTGTGGGGAAATAGGGGGCAGGTCATGAACTGAATGGATATGTGACGAGCAGCCTAAGAAGTAAAAATATGGTGGTGCAGGGAAAGGAATGCCCCTCTACACCATACAAGCATAAACCTGTTTTTCAGAATATGGCTAAAGGCACTGGGTCTGTTCCTGGACCCCGCCAGGGAAATGTTCTTAGGGTGAGAATTCAGGGAAGCGATGTGGGACTTGAGTGGCATATGAAGCTCCCCTTTGCTGAACCCAAATCCATAGAGTGTCGAGGGCAGGGATTTAGGGTGATTCACCAGGAATAATATTCTGAAAGAAAAGCAGAGGGCTGGTTCCACAGAGGGATTCACTACTCAGAAATTAATTAAGGGAAACTGACTTGGGGTTGCCCTACGGCAGCGGGGCAAGGACAATGAACACCCCGTGCCCAAATCAAGCTGGGGGTGATCTGACCATTCCCACCCCAGCCTCCCTCCATCGCTTTGCTTCATTCCCTTCCTAATAGAATTCCTTCAACCCTGGCCCTCCTTGGCCTTGGAAAAGGAGAGAACCAAACCGGTGTGTCGGGTGGTCACTTGTGCGAACCATGGTGCTCCCTACCTCTCACATATAGATTAGCAGGTGAAGAGTAGCGCACTCCAGCGCTGTTGCTGGCCACACACTCGTACTTCCCCTGGTCGGTCTCCTCGCTGCTCTCGATCTGCAGACCACCTAAGATGGGGGAGAGAAGGAGAAACAAGAGAGAGGAGGAAGGAGGAGATGCCAAGAAATATGTTAATCCATGATGGGGGAACAGAAGGGAGGGCAAGCAAGGGGCAGAAGGGCACTAAATCCAGATCTCCTCCCCCCCCCCACAACTTGGAGGCCCTCCAGATGTGTAGGACTACAGTGGCCCTGCCGGCAGAGGATGATGGGAGTTGTAGTCCAAAGAATCTAGAGGTTGGCATTGGCTGGCCTACTTCTTCAGGCATAGATTTGCATTTGCTCCCTCCATCATGGCGGGTTCCCTTCCATCACCAACTGGGTTTTCAATGGCATTGACCTGTTACCTTAGAGAGGCTTTCGGTTCCTGAAGATTTGGGGCAGCAAAGGAGACAGTGGGGAGAACGTTCCAGTGAGGGAAAGATGGCTAAATGTCACACATTTAATCCAGAGCAGATCAATTTTTGAGTGACACCTTCCTTTTACAGTTTGTTCTTTTGTCTGAAACTATGGGTTAATCTTAACTGCAGTTTATCTAAATAAGCCAGGATCATTAGCCACCCTTTGAAGCTGGCTTGTTCAGATAAACTATCATCAAATGTAACCGCGATTGTTTCATGTTCAGACCCAGAAACAAACCTCAGTTAGCTGAAGCGGAAAGAGGAGTTTCCAGCCTCCTCATAACCATACCAGAAGTGAAGAGTAGGTTGGAGAACACTCGTGGACATAAATGCACACCAGCATTTTAATAAGCAACCTGCAGCTTGAAAAATCTAAAACAGCCTTTTTTTGCTCACTGAATGTTTATAATTCTATTTGCAAAATTTACTTGCCACAAAAAAGGAAAGGGGGGGAATCCTACCTTACTCAATTAAATGCAAAACATTCAGTCATCTTTATCTTTGCTGCATCAAACTTTCTGGAGACAGAAACTCCTCTTATGCCTGACATGGGAAATTCTTGTCGCAGTGAACTGCAGAAGCAGGAAGTGGTCCAACTCATGCCCAGAATTTCCCCTGGTGAAGGCCAGGAAAAACTGGTCTTTCAACCCACAGCAGAAACACTTTGCCAACATTCCATAGCTGACTGTTTCTGACATCACAGAAGCTCAGCCAATGGGAGGAGAGAGCTGTCGATAGCATGAAAATCATACATGCATCTACCCAACACATATTAATATAATGCCAAAACCAATTTTTCTTTGGGTAGTAGAGCAGCCCTGGCTAGCATTTTGGAAACTGTCCAGGTAATCAAGAGCCATAATTCTGCCAGAGAACTGCTAAAAGACTGAGGCAGGAGATATGAAAAGGTAGTTTTGTGGGTATGGCAGCCCTTTCATGTGTCAAGGAATCAGCACAGGCAAAGAATCTTTAACCAAGCACATGCTCTTCATTCCTCCCACCCCTAATAATCTGATTCTGCTCCCGATAGCTTTCCTCCTTTAACTGTATGTTCTGAAACATTCCAGTATACCTTCTGGAACCACCTTAAAGGGCCAGGAGTTTAAGACTGGCAACTGCATCACTTGGGAATTAATCAATTCAATTAACTTTGAGTGTGCCCCTGATTAACTGGGCAATAACTTGTTCCTGAAAGTATAAATTTTCTTTTAAATGCAAAATGTACAATCTCAAGCTCCTTCTTTGAAGTGGTATCATTGCTTCTTTTACTCTACATAGGGGAGAATGCCTCTTGCTATGCCATCTTAGAAGAGGTATTTCTGTCATAGTGGAAGATGCATCTTTTCCTCTCTTTTATAGGAGGGAATGCCTCTTCTCACTGCTCCTCCTCCATTTATTTATTGCAAACATTTATATCCTGTCCTTCCAACAAGCGCTCAAGACAGCTTACACAATATAACATTACAGTAATAAAACCACAATTATTAAAACAATATAAAACATTTAGGAGAGGAGACCTCATGCTATGCTATCTTATAAGAGACATCAAAACATCTCCCTTAATCAGAGAGAACGCATTTTTCAGAATGCATCCAGAAGAGGCACCCCTGCTCCTTCCTTAGACAGAAGAGAGAATGTCTTGTAATGTCATCTTAAGAGCAGTAAGCCCAGTTCTTTTCTTCCACAGATGAAAATACCTCTTCCAAAATGGTGCTTGTTGCCTGTCTCATCTAAGGGTTTTTAGCCCTTGAGAACTGGTGACTTCTTACTGCATGCAGATTTAATGCATTAATTTAATATATTCCATCAACTGTGCTTCCCTTAATCCAGTGAAAGCCCTAGAATAAACTTGGGCTCATCACACAGGCCTTGACCTTTTGATGGTTCAGCTGGTTATATTTATTGTGTTTGTTTGCCCTGCAGTTCCAAGGACATGCAGACTGCACAAGTAGTACCTAATGAAACCCTTTTTGTTTTGTGGTCTTTTTCTCACCAGGAAATACAAATGTGTTTTCATTTTAAAAATTCCTACTTTCAACAATAGTTTGGATCAAATTAAACCTTGCTGTCTTCACTGAATGCAAAGAAGTTGGGATTTTTATTATCTGAAGGAGAAATAAACACACAGATCTCTAGCAATATATTTCACCCCTTTGGATCCTCCTAGAACTTCACTTTTATACTTGGGAAACCATCTCCCCCCGCCCCCCACACTCCAGAGGGATGGCGGCCCAAGTCCACCCAGGAAGAAGAAAGGAGAGTAAAGAATTATACATGTATTCAAATTAAAGACAGAATTGGAGGAAGAACATAAAAGTGGGAGCAGACGTAGGATATGAGGGGCAGAAATACCCACAACGGTGAAATGCGGACAAGACTTCAGCTTAGAAACAACACGACTACACAAAACGAGAACTGGTTATAATCCAGAGGCAAAACGCAGTGTTTAGGAGTGGGGAAAGTGGGCGCATGTGTCTGCGTGTCTGTGTGCGGAGTTTCTCTTACCTCTGATCGGAGTACCTTCTGTCAGGAAAACAAAAAGGAAAACAAAAGAACAAAAACAAAAACAAAAAAGAGGAGTGAAAAACAAGTGGAAAAAAACCTGGGAGATTTTAGGATTTGCCGGTGGGGGAAAGGAACCTAACGGAGAAGGAAGGTGGCTCCTGGCCGCAGAAGTAGCAATGCTGCACTTTGGGGCTGTGGCTGAGTCACGAGAAGGACGAGGGAACTTGCTTCCCTCATGATGGATATCCCAAATCACCCTGGCCAATCAGGAGCCTGGCTGTGGATGCTGTTCAGTCAGTCCGGAATAGATAGGTTGCTGCAGCACCTGGGAGCACGTGGGAATGGCGGCAGCTTAGCTGCAGAGGCATGTGAGGTCCCAGCACTGGCTGGAATGCAGGGAAAGCACCTTCCCTGGAAGGCTGGGCAGCCACTGCCACCAGCACAGGCTGAAGGTGGGCAGCCAAAGGCCCATGGGCCACGAGCTGCCCTCAGAGGCCACCAGTGCAGCTCCACCGCATGTGCCTTTCAGCCCCGCTCCTCTCCACCCTGCACACAGGATGTGTGCAGGGAGACTTCCCAGGACACCCTCTTTCTTGATTCTGACGTGGAGCAGGGCATGCAGTTCCTACTTCCCCAGCAGAACTGAGAGTGCTGGACAAGGGGCCACGCAGAGACTCCTGCTGCTGCAACAGGGCGGGATGCTGCCCGCTTGGTGCAGCTGCAAAGGAATGCTTGTGGTCCTCCACCAGGCCGCCTCTCAGGGACCAGGGAAGTGAGTGTGTGGATGTCATTTGCTGGCCGGGCTTCTTGCCCACGCTCGGCCCTGCCCAGGAAACAGACGGAGCTGAGCTCACGCCTCTGGGGGCAACACCAGCAGCCCCGTCCCCGTGCACAGTGCACCAACCCTGGAGATCACTTATGTGGTAGCAGAGCCCCGGTTCCGCAGTGGGCACATGGGGGGGTGTGCAAGCCGGCTTTGCACACTCACTCCCTGCCAGATGTTCACACGAGTGCTCCGCACAAGGCAGCCTTAGGGCAGAGAGAAAGCTGGCTGCAGTCTGGGGAGCGGAGCAGAGGAAATCCAGTGGATTCCTGCCCCTGAACCAGATTCCTCACACACAGCTGATGGAGACACAGCTTGGCTGGCAGGACATGCAGGGCTGCGTGGAAGAGCCCCGTTTTCTGCTGGGTCCTCACACCAGGCGGTCTCTGCGGGGCACCTCTGCTCCTGGGCTCCCCGCTGGACGCCCTGGGCAGAGCTGCAGCTCTACACAAGCCTGACTCTGGCTTGCTTGGCCAGCAGCGCAGGGCCATCGTCACGCATGGGCCTGATGGGCACTTGCCCGTGGGCCCCATACTAATCAGTGTATGTTAATCCGTCATTTTTACACTTTTGCTCCTGTGAGTGGTGGTCTCGGGCCCCAGGACTCTGCTTTGCCCGGGGCCCATAATGCTGTTAAGACAGCCCTGCGGGAGCAACCTGGGCAGCACATGGGCTCCGTGTCGCCCGCTTCTCGCCTTCACCGCCTCTGTTGCCCGGGGCAGAGCAAAAGATGGGCAAACACGCAGGCTCCATGGGGAAGGGAAGGAGTGGCTCCAGGGCAGTCAGCCCAGGGGGTCCCCTGAGAAATGCCCGGCCATGTTTACCCTTGATGCTGACCCCAGAGGAGCAGCAATGCCCACCCTCTCTGAGAAGCAAGGATGCAGAAACCCTTTCTGTCTGGGACCTTAGCTAAATAATGCACCCCCCCCCCCCGATGTGGGGCAGTTCCAACATTCCTCTGCTAATCTACAGCCCGTGTAGAAACAGGGCTTTTCAAAAAATGACAGAAAGGCACTTTGCACATGCCCTTGTTCCTAGGGCAACACTGCCCCCATTGACCACCCCAAAAGAGGTTCACCATCATTGCCCTTGAAGTTGAGGGTCGCCCAGAGGACACCTTCCGTGCCAGATTAATTAGGGTCAGGATCCTTTCCCCCATCAGCTTTCCAAGCACTTGCTGCAATCTCATTCTAGAAATGTATCTTATAGATCTCGAGAGTTTTAACCCCAATCCTGAAAACAAACCAAGACGCAGCATGTTCATTGCGATTCAGGCTCTCTCTGCAGCCACTGCCTTTATTTATTCGTTATTTGTGTGTTATTTTTGTGGAAGTAATAAATCTCACTTCAACACGCCCTGGCCCAGTGGCCTGCCCGTGCCCACCTGGCAAGGTTTGGACAGAGGAAGGGGCCTTGGCATGCGTTCCCTCCAGCAAGCCAGCTGTCCTTGCAGCCCACCCCTCCTGTTAGAAGCCTGCACTGCGGCCTTCGCCTCGTGCCATGCTGGTCTAAGCCCTCTGTTTTCAGGATAAGGGGGGAAAACCATCAACCTAGTTATTTTTCATTATTAGTCATTGTCAGTTGGGTGGGAAGTGGGCAATTGTTACGTGGTTAAGGATCTAGTTAGATTCAGCTTCTAGTTAAAAGAAAGGTTAGACATAATCTAGGGAAAGGTGTTAGCATCTAGTTAAGCTTGCTGGCTTGTTAAGGTTAATGAAAGCAGGACTAATTAGCTTGTTGGAGGAGGAGACAGTTTGGGGAGAAGAAAAGAAAAGAAGGGGGTGTTAATTTGGGGCTAGCTTCTGCGGAGATACAGCAGGAGAGGGAGAGAGCAAAGGACAGAAAATAGCGAGGGTTGTGGGTGTATTTGGAGGAAATAGAACAGCCTCAAACGCATCCTTCTGTCTCAAAAAAATTAAAGAGTGGAATTTTTAAAAAATCTGCCATCTGTGTCACAACTCGGGAGTGTTTCAGAAATCAGCAAGGGGGAAGGGGAGAGGGAGGCTGGCTTGCAGAGTCCTGGCATGGTGAAAAGCATCTATTTTGTGGCTCTCCTTTCTAGCAGTTGCAATTTGTTCCTACAGAAGCTGGATATTCAGAGACCTGGAGGGGCCTGTTTTGGGTGGGGGCTGAAAGGTAGACACAAAACTGCATTTTCAGCATTCTTGACAAAAGTGGCTAATGGAGCACTAAAGACAGGTCTAACTTTGGGGTCACTGGCCAAGGTTTAGTGCCTTCCATTTCTTCAGTCTGCATAAACAAAGAAACAACACCGCCCCCCCCCCCAAACAATACAACAAGCAAATAAAAAACCCCATTCTCAAACACTTGGAATGGAAGCCTTCACTTTGCTCACTGCAGTAGTATTGTGTAGTGGTCAGAGCACCCTTTTCTGACATGCTGGCTAGATACGTCAGGCTTACCGCTCACATAAGCCCCACCAGTATGGCCGATGGTCTGGGTTGATGGGGTTGTAGCACTAAACATGAGGAAGGCGGGGCCAGGCTGTTTCCCCAGGATCCAGGTTCAAATCCTGCCAGTCACAAAGGTTGCTGGTAGCGCATAGGTTTCAGGGTTGACAAAAAAAGGCCCCCTTGTCTGAAAAGGAGACCTGGATGGAGAAAGTGGAGGACACTGGGAAGGGTTAAGTCCAACCAGAACACACCCCTAGAGGGTCTCGCATGGAAGGGGGTGCTCAAGACACCACAACTCACAGCTTTGCTTCTCACTCAGTGGCTGTCAAACAAGAAGCAAAGCAGCAAAGCAACCTTTTTCCTAGTCCCGCTCTGTCATCCCTGTCCTTCCACGGGACGGCATGGCACCCAGGACATGCACAAGGCAAGGCTGCACATTTGGGGCAGTTGGAACTGTGTGCACACACCTCCAAATGTCTGGCAAAGCACCCACCACCACAAAGCTTGGGCGGAAAGCGGGTGGGCGGCACCCCGGGTGCTTTGAAGGAGTGGTGAGTGGCTGTCGCTTTGGAAAACGCAAGACGCCATCTCCTGAGGAAATAGAGGGTCAGATGGACCCAAAAATGCTGTGGGGACCCCAAAAGGAGCTGTGGTTGCCACTGGGGAGATTGGACCAGTGACAACAGCTCTGCTTGGGCACTTGATGAAGAGGCTGTCCTTGGTAGCAGCTGAGTGAGCCTGGTGAGAGCTGTAAGTTTTTGGCCATTCTTGTGAAGGGGACCTCGGGGTGCTGGTTGACTGCAGGCTGAACATGAGCCAGCCGTATGATGCAGTGGTCAAGAGGGTGAACGCCACCCTTGGTTGCACAGCCAGAAATGTGGCTTCTAGATCGAGAGAGGTATTATGCCCACTCTGTACGACTCTGGTGCGCCCGCAATTGGAGAGCTGTGTTCAGTTTTGGGCCCCTCATTACAGAAAGGATATAGCCAGGTTAGAGTCAGTGCAGCGAAGGGCCACAAGGTTGGTGGTCGGTTTGCAGGGGATGCCGTATGAGGTGAGACTGAGGGAACTGGGTCTCTTCAGCCTGGAGGAGAGGAGACTCAGAGGGGAACTGTTGGCAACCTACAGGTATGTGAGGGGGTGTCACATGGAGACGGGCAGAGACCTGTTCTTCCCTGCAGAGGAAGGCAGGATGCGCTCCAACGGAGCCAAGCTCAGGGAACCAAGGTTCAATTTGGATACCAGGAAGCACTTCCTGACAGTTAGGACCCCTTCATGAGTAGGACAGTCCTTATAACAAATTGTGGGATTTCCAGGTTGTGTGTCGCCCATGAACAGGCCCTTGCAGGAGATAGTCTGGGCCGACATGACACAGTTGTAAGCCGCCCCGAGGCTTCGGCGAATGGGGTAGCATAAAAATGTTTTAATAAATAAAAATAATAATAAAATAACCCACCAAGGCTTGTTAAACATAATGGGTGTCATGTTGCAGGACCAGAGTAAATATCTGGTAACAGAGCCTACCTTACAGTGTTGTTGAGAATATGCAACAAGTTCTTGTTTTACAGGAGGAAACAGAGCTCTCATATATACATTGCTCTCTGGAGCAAAAGGTGACCAAAACAAAATGATCAGCTGAATTTGCAAAATAGCCTTTTTGGTTTCTTGCTGCGTGGTTGTGGATGGAAACTGCCCCCTTACTCAGGTTAAGATATTGGTCTTTTGGCATGTGTCCGCCCTCTCATTTCCTGCATCTCTCTCTGCTCCATCAGACTGGCTTCTGCATTTGCCACTCCTTTTTTAAAATGTTGCAGGTGGCACTGTATTTGCAATGAGCAGATACTCATTTTTATCACCTGTTCTAATGGTAATTACTATCTGTCTTGAGGAGGACTTCCAGGAATCCAGTCTGGGTGCTACCAAGGTATAAACAGGCCTGGCTGTGTTACTCTGCTAAGAAGTGACCCAAACTGGAGGGGTTAGGAAGAAAGGGAGGTTGGAGTGAGGTCTTCGGACACAGATGGTAGATTTTTCCCCACCATTGGAGTTTCACATCCAAGAAGCGCTAATCTTTAGATTTTTGGTGCAGTAAGGAGAGAGACCAGAAAGAAATGCTTACTTTAGGGAGTGCTTATACAACCCCAAACACACTGGGTAATTCTGAAGAAAGAAGTGGGTTGATATGCCAGTCTGGGATGACCAGTTCTCTAGGTTTGGTATTGCCTATATTCTACAGTAAAAAAGCAACCGAGCTTATTTCTTTCCTCACCCAGAAAGGTGGTGGTGGGGCGGGGCTCCTGTCTGCCAATACTGGGGTGACATGGAGGAAACTGACCTACTCCAATCTAGGTGAAGGGCAAGTGACGGGGGAGGGTAATGGGAAAGCACTCTGTACTCCCTCAGGGGCACCCTCCTCATGCATCCTTGCTTATCGCTTCACCTCACTCCACCTGCACTGAAATGCAGAACCACATTCACGAGCTGCGCCTTGGCAATGAAATTAAAGCCCCAGAGAGGGGAAGGCCCCTTCGGCAAAGGGGAACACGCACAGGAGGCAGAGGAGGTGAACAAACTGGAGAGGAGAGATGCAGCCAGCACTGTCTCCATGGTAACGGTGGAGAGACAGTCGGACCCCCGTCAGGCGGCAAGCATCTGCTAGTGCAATTCTCCTGGGGACGCCTGTGCGGTTGTTGAGCTGTGTGTGCGTGCGTGACCCCCAAAACAAGCTGCTCAGCTACCTCTCCGCAAAGCATCTGCCGGATGTCAGAGGGGGAGCGCTCGAAAACAAAGCACACACTGCGAAGCATGTGCCGAGAAGACTTCATTAGAACCAGCCGCCCTTCAGGACAACCCAGCGCATTAGAAACGGGGGCACGGCTCCAAGAAATTGGGGCCCAGGCGGGGGTTTTAAGCATGTGTTCCTCGGCCCCGTGTCTTCTGGAGGGGCAGGGCTGGCAGAGGAATGCTGGCGGTTGGGGGTCCAATCCATCTGGGGGCACAAGGCTTTAAACTCCAGGAGTTAAACTCCTGCCTCGCAGCCTTTTCGCTCCCTCTCCAACCTCCTGCCCACATTTACACCCAGACATTGCTCCAGAACAGGCGTCCTGTGCCTATCCCACATTAAACACGAAGAAGCAGAGCTGACGGATAAGGCGTTACAATAACATCAGTTTTAGCACTAAGGTTTGCAGATCCTCCTCCTCATAGGTCTGGGGTGGGGTGGGCAGGGAAGGGGGGCAACTCTCCTTCAGATCTGTTGCTGTTTAAAGAAATCTGGAGGGAATTGGAAGTGTACACCCAATTTTGTGTAGAAGAAATCAACCAGAATCCTACAGGTTTAATTCTTCCTCTCATTCCCCTGGCAAGGACTCCAGGATCTCCCCACCTCCAAAAGGAAAAAAGAAAGGGGAGGCATAGCAGGCTGAAGTTCAACTGGTCATATTTGCCCTGACTGGGGCAAAGCAGTTTTTTAAGTACCTGTGATTCTGCATCACCAGAGCGTCCCAGTGGTCCTGGTATTTTATTCCCTGGGTCTCCCTTTATGCCCAACAGGCTGAGAGAACTTTGGAAGCTGTGCATTGCTCCACAGTACTTGAAGGCTATTTAATTCATCATTATTGTGATCATTCTTTCAATTCCCCACCCAGGAATAAAATGCCTGGCCTACACCTACCATAAGCCCAATCTTTCTTCCAGAAAACTTGTAACATAAAACCTATTAGATGTGAAACTCCAAGCCCCAATTTAATTTACAGTGGGGAAAACAATGAAAACAACACACTGTAGTTTTAGGGTACCAAGCTGTTTTGATGGGTGGGGAATTCCAGGACAAATGCCTGGTTTTTGGTTTCTTTCTTTTTTTCTTGTTTGCTTTTTAAATGACAGAATCTATCCAATGTTAGAAAGTTTGCATTTCCTTAGAATGGGTACAGGATCAGATAGGTTGCTAATTGTTTTGGAAAGCTTGCAAATTCCCCTTGCATTAAGTTTGTTAAAACGGACAGAATGTCCCTACCAAAGAGGCGTTAGTAAAAGTAAAAAGAGACTTAGCAACATGCCTGTTGGGGGGAAAAGCTGTTAAGAAGGAATTAGTTTAAGGCAAGGAGGAAAAGGAACAGGCAACTTCTGGAAAGTAGCAGGTTTGGGTTCATTTTATTTTTTAAAAGAATTGATTTATTTAAGTGGAAGCCACACTTACCAAAGGTATCTGAGTGTAAAACAAATTAAAAGGAAACACAAAGAAAAGAAAATACGGGAAAGTGTTGTTATAAACCAGTTACTTTTTAAAAGAAAATTAAAGCAAAAACACGTCCACATACATCACAACACCACAGACGTCAGAGACACCTGGTTATTATGCACAGACATTGAGAGGCTGTTTCCCAAACGTGACAACAGGGGTGAGACTCTTACCTCTGAAAATGTTTACTCGGAGAGCATGAGAAGGTGTGCACACATGGGGTTGTCCTGCCCCTGAAGTGGGACTCTTGCCTATCAGAGCTACAGGTGTGGAATAACAGATTGGGAGGAGGGAGAGGAAGGGGCAGAGACTCACACAGAGACGCTAAGGGGAGCATCCTGCTTCAAAGGGCATGAAGTCCAGAGATACCAAAAAGTCCTGTTGCATACTATGTTCTGCTGTTCTGCTTCCAAGCTCACTTGTGGCAGACAGATCAGTCCTAGCAGTAGCTTCCCTATAGCCTGAAGTGCCTGATCCTGCCCAATCCTAGAAGCTAAGCAGCATCAGGCTGGTTTGGATTTGGATGGGTGACTTGAGTGTATGACTTTGTGATTGCTCTTGCAAACTGCCCAGAGAGCCCCAGCTGGGCTATGGGAGGTATAGACATGCTAATAATAGAGCGGTGGGAGATTTCATTTAGCCCCCCTCCCCTGGATAAAAATACTAATCTTCCAGTGAATAGACAACGGGGTCAATGGAAGGAAGCCATGGAAATGCACGACAGAGTCCTAACCCCTCAAAGGGGAGCCACGAGAGAACTTGCTGGTGCCATTTGGGTCACAGCACCACTGGGTGCTGAAACATTTGGGCCCAGGTTTAAGTGCAGGGGGTGGTACTGAAATGCATGCATGAGGCCTGCCACAGACAAGAGGCGGGCATTGCATCTCCGAAATCCCTGCTCTGGCTGAGCTAGAGGAGCATTTCCTTGGCATGATCGTCCCGCTGAGCCTCCCTGGCCCATAAAGAGCCTCTGCCCACCCCAACCCTCACAGGGAGGAGAGTTGCCCTAACTCTGGGCAATGCAGTTTTCCTAAAGGCCCCTGGGAGTGCGGCATCCTTGGGAAGCACAGTTTCCCGGGGTCTTAGGCTGTGTGCAGAGAAGGGGCCAAGTCCGGTTGGCACTGAATCATGGGGTGCTGTAGGAAGGTGGGTGACCATCTCACCTGGTCAACCTGGTGCATGACCAGGAGTTCACAGCCTCTGGGGCAAAGCAGCACTGCTCGTTTTGAGTCAACTCGGTGCGAACATGCTGCTCAGGTGGACCGGCTGGTGTGTTTGTGTACCTGCGCATGCGCACAATGATACCGTGCTTTTGTTTACACTGGGGAACTAACACTCAGGACGCTTTGGTACAAAATTCATCTTCCTGGGTTGTACTTCTGAGGAAGGACTATCTTAGTGGCATCGCCTTTGCTTTACCTGCAAAAGATCCTGGGTCCAAATTCTGGAACTCCAGGTTGGGATCCCCCCGCCCCCTGCAAACCAAGTGCCCTCCGTATATCCTAGATCCCAGGACCAGTCTCATGGGGCTTGGCCTGATGGGAGTGGTAGTCCAAACCATCTGAAGGGTACCTAGTTGTAGATGGCTAGTAGAGGCAACATGGAGCAAGTTGGACCAGTGATGTGCCCTGGTGCCACTTAATTTCCTATGATCCTACTGAAAGCAGATCCTTATGCAGAACTACGAGGACCAGATCCTTATTCTGTTTTTCACAGGGGAGGCCTAAGCTCAGTGGCCAATCCCCTGCTTCACCCAGAGAACAGCCAAGTTGCAGTTTCTGGCAGGGCCTGGGAAGAAGTTCTGCACTGCAGCTCTCAGCATTCCAGAGGATGGCCGTGTGGCTGCGGCTGGCGAGAACAGACGTCAACAGAGAGCCACGCTGTGGAAAGGCAGGTTGCTCACCTGGAACTGTCGTTCTTCGAGTGGCCATCTGTGCATCACACATATGGGTGCTGCGCCTGCGCAGTGCCTGTGGCCGGAAGGATTTAAAGCTTAACGGTTTTGGTGAGAACTCCACGCCCCGCCCCCCCACGGTATAAAAGGGCGGAGTGCCTGCCATTTCCTCAGTCTACTGGAGACTGATTGTTTGCCCCCTCGCGGGAGCGAGAGATATCAAAGGGATAACTGCTGAACCATAGAGAAAAAAATTACTAATGGATCCGGTATCAAGGAGAAATGGTACCGTGTAAACCCATTCACTGACACCGAGTGGGGCCAGTGGGTGGGTTGTGTGAATGCACAGATGACCACTCGAAGAACGACAGTTACAGGTAAGTAACCTGACTTTCTTTGTCGTGGCCTCTGTGCATCACACATATGGGTGATTAGCAAGCTTACCAGACCTGGAGGCGGGCGGTGTTGTCATTGAAGAGCAGAAGAAAGGAGTGCCCGCCCAAAGGAGCAGTCGTGCCTGGCACGCACATCAAGGCGGTAATGCCTGGCAAAGGTGCAAGGAGCAGTCCAAGTGGCAGCCTTGCAAATGTCCTGGATCGGGATGCCAGCGGCAAAGGCAGAGGAAGCAGCTACCGCCCTCGTGGAGTGCCCTCTGGACCTGACAGGTAAGTCAAGCTTGGCAAGCTGATATGCTAGTTCGATGGCCTGCACAATCCATTTCGAAAGTCTCTGCGAACCAACAGGAGAGCCTTTATCATGGTCCGAGTATTTGATAAAGAGGCGGTTAGATTTATGGGAGGACTCCGTGCGAGACCTGTAAAAGGCAAGACAGTGACGAATGTCGAGAGAATGCAGTGACCGCTCTATCGGTGTAGTGGGCATAGGGGAAAAGGCTGGTAAGACAATGTCCTGGTTAATATGAAAAGGAGACACAACCTTGGGTAAGACGCCAGATCAATACGGAGAATGACTTTCTCCTTATGAAAGTTAAGGTTGTTGTTAGTCGCGAAGTCGTGTCCGACCCATTGCGACCCCATGGACAACATTCCTCCAGGCCTTCCTGTCCTCCACCATCCCCCGGAGTCCAACTAAGCTCATGCCAACTGCTTCCGTGACTCCATCCAGCCATCTCATCCTCTGCTGCCCCCTTCTTCTTTTGCCGCCAATCGTTCCCAGCATTAGACTCTTCTCCAGGGAGTACATCCTTCTCATTAGGTGGCCAAAGTATTTGAGTTTCATCTTCAGGATCTGGTCTTCTAAAGGGCAGTCAGGGTTGATCTCCTCTAGGACTGACCGGTTTGATCACCTTGCGGTCCAAGGGACTCGCAGGAGTCTCCTCCAGCACCACAATCCAAAGGCCTCAATTCTTCGGTGTTCAGCCTTCCTTATGGTCCAGCTTTCACAGCCATACATTGCAAAAAGTTAAGGTAAGGAGGATCTATCCGGAGTGCACAGAGTTCACTAGCCCTTCTGGCAGACGTGACCACGATGAGAAAGGCAGCCGTCCAAGACAGAAGGCGTAAGTCAGTAGTTGCCAGGGGCTCAAAAAAAGCTTGGGTGAGCGCATGGAGAACAACCAAGAGGCTCCAAGTAGGGATAACTGGACGAAGCGGTGGTTGGAGGTTCTGTAAACCCTTGAGGAATCGACGTATGAGGGTATGAGAAGAAACCGAAGAACCCCACACCTATCCGCAGTAGTGGGAAATTGCAGCTGTATAAACCTTAATAGACAATGGCTTAAGTCCATATTGATGGAGTGATAAGAGAAATTGAAGGATATTTTCAACAGAGGCTGAAGAAGCGCCAAAACTGTTGGATTCAGCAAAGGATGTGACGTGCTTCCATTTGGCCGCATAAGACTGATGAGTTGCAGGTCTTAGGGCAGACTGGAGAATGAATTGAATATAGGGATGGAGAGCACTCGGATTCGCTGAGGAGTCTACCGGTATCGGGGAAGAGGAAGCTGTATCAGGACAGCGTTGGACCAGTGGAGGAGTCCTTGAATCCGCCAGTACCAAAGAGACCCAGTGGTTCATCAAATGAGCCAGGCTGTCAGATTGAGTGAAGGAAGATCCAGGTGACGAACAGCTCCAACCTGTTGAATTATTAGATGAGGTATGAGAGGCAGGTGGAAAAGGCGCTGCCGGATAGATGGAGAAGAATAGAGAACCATGGTTGACAGGCCCACCAGGGGGTGATCAGGATCCCCATGGCACCGTCGTAGACGATCTTGGCTAGGACCCTCATTATGAGCGGGATTGGGGGAAACGCATAAAAGAATGTGTTGGTCCAAGGGATTGTGAGAGTGTCCCGTCGATCCCGGGCCGGTCCTGGCATGAGAACAGAACACCTCGCACACCTTGTTCGTGTGAGTGGCGAACAGGTCTATGTCCGGAGAGCCCCAAGTCCGGAAGAGGCGATGGCAGGTCGGACAATCCAGTTCCCATTTGTGGGTTGTCGACATCTGCCTGCTGAGGGCGTCGGCCTCCTCATTGTTGGTACCGGCCAGGTGAACAGCAAGGAGGGTAATCTCCCTGGGGATGCACCAGTCCCACAGTTGCATCATCAGGCGGGCCAGGGAGGTGGACTTTGTCCCGCCTTGTTTATGTAGATACAGCGACAATGTTGTCGGAGGCAACTTGCACAATGTGTCGCTGGAGAGTGTCCTCGAATGATCGAAGGGCTTTGAAAACTGCCAGGAGTTGGAGGTAATTGATGTGTCTGGTAGTCTCCTGGTGGTCCCAGTTGCCCTGTGTATGGAGACCAGCACATAGGGCTCCCCACCTGGTAAGGGAGGCATTGGTAAACAGGGTCAGGGTCAGGTGAGGCGGACGAAACGGGACGCCTACAGACAGATCGTGCCACATAGTCCACCACGATAGAGTCCGGAGGACGGAGGTTGGAAGGCGGAGGAGATGGTGAGGCAAGTCTCGCTGGGGTTGAAACAGTCCGTTGAACCACAACTGGAGTGGCCTCATCCAGAGCCTGGCGTGGGGAACTGTGGAGACTATAGAGTCTATGTGGCCAAGAAGTTTCTGCACCAAGAGTGCTGGAACACCTCTGTCCATGTGGA